CCACCCCCACACACCCACACACACACACACACACACACACACACACACACACACACACACACACACACACACACACACACACACACACTCCAGAAAAAAACCAAAAGCTAGAAGAGCAGCCTGGAACAGATTCTTCAAAACATTCCATTTAGGCCACTATGTTTGTGGTACTTTAAAACTGAAGCCCTCACAACACAAACTAACACAGTGGTTTCAGTGAGCCTCATAGAGGAGAATGGAGACAATGCTGGGAAAGCAAAAGGTTTCCTTTATTGTAGGAATGAGGTCTTATACCTTATTGGGGGAAACAGGTCCTTGATGTATCAGTTTTCTGTGCCTAACAGATTACCACACATGTAATGGATTGTAACTACACAAATCCATTGTTGGTTTTGATATTAACAGTTTGCATGAAGAAGTCACCTACAGAGTAGCTGAGTCCCCTGAGTCCTTAGTTAAGATCCCTTTTCTTAAAGTAGTAAAGATTAAAGTAGTCTTATGGTTCTAGTTATGTGAGAAAAAAATAGAAGTTAACTATTTGTCCATCTAACAATGGAGAGAATAGCTCCTGAAAAAAGTTATCTGGGTATGAATAGAATTCCAGTCTGGCTTATGGTTATGACAGAGCCACAGGTTTGCCCAGAAGAGTTCCAGAAAGGAAGAGCTTTTAAAGATAAAATGAAGTTCACATAAGCTGCCTTGAAGCAGTCTGAAGGCCACTGCAGAGTGCAGAGCTGATGTTAACCCATTGATGGAGACAGCCTTAAAATTGTCTATTGAATTTCTGAAGTCTTAAATAATCTGACAAAATTTAATACAGAAAATATAATGTGTATAAAATGAATGTGGTGTGCAAATAATGCCTGTATGAGATGCATGTAGATGGCAGAAGAACACCTTTGACTTTGAAGAAGCCTTTGTGATAGTTTCTAAACTTAGACATAATCATGAGCTGCTCACTCCTTCACCTACCAGCTCTAATTTGGGGTGGACAGTGACTTCAGCAACTTTGCACAGTAAAGGAATAAAAATCTACATTGACACTCCCAGTCTAAAAGGGGGACTGTGAGTAGAAACAAGGAGGAGGAAAAAGAAGAAAACATAACATGAGAAATGTGATGAAATAGTTATTGTAGTAAGTGATACTGAATTGAATCTCTCTTTTGAAGAAAATACTATTAGATTGAAATAAAAAGCACCTGCATCCTGCTTTTTAGAAGCACACTTAAACTGATGAAGATACTTCATCTTAGGGTAATGGCAAATAGGTGATTGAGAGCAGCCTTCCTGTTGAAGACTGCAAAGTGGGACAAGATTAAAAATCATCTTCCTAAAAACACCTAAGAGCTACTAAAGTGATGAGGTAAAACATCAGAGCACCATCCAGAAGAATCTAGAGAATGCAGGGAACACTGAAAGTGAAGAGTGGCTTTTGTCCAGGTTGCACTATCCTTATTCTCAGGAGGTAGTGTGCAACTGAACATGTGGCACATTATTGAACTAAAGGTTAAAAATGGATTACAGGGCCTGTGAAAGATGACTCCCATAAAAACCACCTTAATATTTGGGTTGGCGCTGTAAAATGCTGTACCCAAGGAGATGCATGAACTAGAAGAAACATCTGTTCACATGGATTGAAGCTCAATGTGAGTCATCTGTAGATTGAAGCAGCTAGGGTTCACAGAAAATATTAAACCCCCAAATTATACTAAATTGCTTCTATGTTTTTCACTGAAATTCATTTTATTTAATATAACTATTTTGCAACAGATTTGTAATTTCTATAAAAAAATCTTTTAATTCTGCAATAGAAGTTAGCATTTCTATTGTGATCTAGAGTCATCTCTCTGATCAGGTGTTACATAAACATGGAAAATGAGAGATGTGATTGCAAGCAGATGGGATTGGCAAGATACTAGAGGGCAACCTTTCTCTAGTTATTTCCTTTTTGTGTGTGTTAATTTTTCTTGTATTAAAAATCCGTTCTTCCCTCATAAAAATACATCCCAACTACAGTTTCCCCTCCCTCCACTCCTACTGTCCCCTCCCCCAACCTCCCCTCTCCTCAGATCCACTCACCCTCCATTTCCTCTTCAGAAAAGAGCAGGTCCCCAAGAGATGACAGCAAGATAGGACAAGGCGAAAGCCCTCATATGGAGGCTGGACAAGGCAACCCAACAGGAGGAAAAGAGTCCCAGGACAGGCAACCAAGAGAGTCAGAGATACCCCCACTGCCACTGTTAGGAGTCTCACAAGAGCATCAAGATAACAGCTATAACATATACTTAGGTTACCTGGTGCAGACCCATTCTTGCCATTTCAGTCTATGTGAGCCCTGCTTATTGATTCAGTGGACCATGTTCTCCTAGTGTCCTCCAGCCCCTCTGACTCCTATAGTCTTCTCTCCCCCTCTTCTGCAGGGTTTCCCAATTTCCAAAGACCTGACAGAACATTCC